AACAAGGAAGCAGCTGTCATATAGTTCTGCTGTCTGGAGGACACTGGGAGATGCAGTCCAAAAAGTCGCTTTTTCCAAACTGTACACCTCCCTAAAGTGGCACCGTATTTTGTGCAAAGAGCTTGATAGGGCAAGCCAAGATTACTCATCGAGGCTTTGCACAGGACCATTTTCAAGGATGACCTTGGGCAAGTCACATTCTCTCAGCCTCGCAAGAAGGCAAGAAGGCAAAACTACTGTGAACAAATCTTGCCAAGAAAACCCCAGGATAGGTGCATGGCCTCAGGCCACCATAAGTCAGAAACAACTTGAAAGCACATAACACACACACACACAGAGTACCACTAAACAAAGGGGGGGGATGCCTTGTGTGTCTTCTCCAAAGCCCTCTTGTGCAAACCAAGGCAAACCCATCTTAAGAACAGGAGAACTACATTATGGATTGCTGCTGTATTGCAACAAAAAACATGCTTTCTGCAGTAAATCAGCACATACCTATGGAGACCTATGAACACATATGCATGCTAACCATAAGGTAGTACTTAAGCTCAGTCTAATGTGTGTGTGTGTGTATGTGTGTGTTGTGGTTGTGACAGTATTATTGATGTTCTGACCTATGCGTTCTGTTCCTGGCAGGTAAACATGAAGAGCAACAGGTGGAAGGAGGGATCGTGTCTAAGAACTTCACCAAGAAAATCCAGTAAGTAGTACGAAGTTTCACAGCTTCCTTCTAGGCACAGTGGTTCCCAAACTTTGGTCCTCCAGATGTTTTGGGGACTTCAGTTCCCAGAAGCCCCAGCCACTTTGGCCAACAGTAAGGAATTCTGGAAGCTGAAGTCCAAAACATCTGGAGGACCAAAGTTTGGGAACCACTGTAGGGGATCCTTTTAGGGCTTCATCCACACTGCAGAAATAATCCAGTTTGACACCGCTTTAACTGCCCTGGCTCAATGCTGTGGAATTCCAGGAACTGTAGTTTGTTGTGGCCCCAGAGCGGAGTGGAACTATAGTCTACAGACCCCAGAATTCCATAGCATTGAGCCAGGGCAGTTAAAGCAGTGTCAAACTGGATTATTTCTGCAGTGCGGATGCACCCGCAGAAGCAAAGTAACCAGCTGGTAAATGGAAGTGACTGCCAGGGATTGCCCTGGAGCCAGGTTGGGTTGGCTTTCAGCCAGCCGCCAGAATGCTCAACCTGAAGCATGTGCATGACTTGAAGCACCATTTTGGCGACTGTGGATTATGAATGTGGGCTTGGCTAGTCATATCCCATGTTGGCCTTGGAAGATCCAAGGAGGCAACTGGTGTTTATAGGTGGGAGTGTTGTAACCAAAGGTTGCATTCTGTCCCCAGTCCCTAGGTGTTCTCCAGCCACAAAATGGGATGCAAAGGCCACATGTGCATTGTGCTCAGGTCTGGCTAGTATGGGCCGATGCAGACCAGCCAAAAGGGTTGGCCTAGGATGGAGTTGGGGCGGATTATTTTCAATGTCTGAATAACCCCTTGAAAAGGCCAAAGCATAGATGTGATGGGACATTTTGTTCACAAGATCTTCAAGAGAGGCCCTTCGCTCTGTCTCCTCCGAAACACATCTTGCCAAGCCAACCCTAGGAGAGGGTCTGCATAAGTCTAAGTTGACTTAAAGGCACAAAACAACAACAATACACATGCGCACAGAGAGAGAGAGAG